GGGCTCCAGGTCCAGCAGGAGCCTGTCCAGATCTGCAGGCAACAGAAAGGAAGGGTCCTGGGAGAGGCTGCCAGGCCATGTCTACTGGACATCCCAGCAAGATGGGGGCTGACAGGGGAGCGAGCTGGAGCCCCAGGTACCCAGAAGAGGCCCATGAAGAAGAGTTAAGCCTGCAGCACCATTCAACCCCACGAAGGAGCAGAGTGCATGGAACGGTGCATACCCCCTTTACCCCAAACCCGTGCCAAACCCATCACCCCGGCGCCAGCTCCGCGCGCCCACGGCTCAGCTGGGGCTGCGCGGCCCCCCTGCTCCTGGCTCCTGCACCTGACCCCGGCACGCGGCACAATCCGCCCATTCAGAGGACACAAGAGGTGCCCAGACAGTGGGGGGCGGAGGGCGCAGAAGGGGGTGATAAGGAAAGAATAAGCAGCCGTGGGAGACTGAGAGCCTTTATGTTTGCAGTCAAAGAGCAGGCTTGTCTGCAAGACCGGCTTCCAGGTTCTTTGAGAAGAGCCATGAATATAGTATTTGACTGGCAAAAGGACAAATGCAGCTCAGCCCTCTATTAACTCCTGTGCTTCCCCTCTCCACCCACCCCCAGCCCCAGCTCCCGCACAGTGAGGGGCAGAGAAGCTCCTTGGTAGCCCCTCTTTTGCCTTCACGCTGTCCCTGCCAGTCAGGGTTGCTTACAAATGTTGAATGTCTTGGCACTGTCCCCCAAGTGGCTGCCTTCTCACCTCTCCCTCCTCCCATGCCCCTGCGGGCAGACAGCGGGGCGGTAGAGGCCCTGACACCACAATCTTTCCAAAGCCACCGGCTCCCATGCCGCAAGACAGCGGGGATGGGAGGCAGGGAGGGGGAAGGAGCAGCTTTTTGCATGGCACGGAGCAAACCTGCTGACAGAGGCTGGCGTGTTCCCCAGGAAATGCTGAGCATTCGCCCACCACCCCCTGCTGCGCTGGCAAAGAGGAATAAGCCTCCCCGCCGGGCCTGGGACAGGGAAAGGGCACCCAGAAGGAGCCTGTCTGCCTTTGCGGCAGACTGGGACACGCTTGGCTTCCTTGCCAGCTGCAGTGGGGCCAGCCAGCAGCACTCCGGGGTTGGAGACCAGGGGTCCCCAC